AGTGCAGTCCCTGGGACCCTAGCGCCAGCTTTTGTCAAGCGGTTTCACCCAAGAACTCGCCTTGGTCGCACTGCCCTAGAAACCACTCTGGGCCAGTACTTCTATGTCCCCTGGCTCTCTAGCATCTCCCGAGCGGTATGTGAATACCTCACAGACTCCCGTGCGAAGTCTGTGCCTGCAACAACCCCAGGCAAGGGCCGTGTATCCCACTGGGGGTCCAAAGTGTTGGTGGTACCCCCTTTGAGGAACTCAAGTAGAATTCACTGAAATGCCTCGATCATGGGGCCTCAAGTATCTCTTGGTCTTTGTATGCACCTATTCCATTTGGATAGAAGCTTACCCACCTAGACTGGGAAGGCCCTGGTGGTAGCCAGACTGCTCCTCTCAGAAATTGTTCCAATATTTGGCCTACCAATTACCATTGGCTCAGATAATGGGCCAACCTTTGTAGCAGAAATAGTGTAGCTACTAGCCAAGTATTTAAATATTAAATGAAAATTACATACTACCTATCGACCATAGAGTTCGGGACAGGTGGAACGCATGAACAGGATTTTTAAGACTCAGTTGGAAAAAATTTGTCAGGAGACACATCTACATTGAGACAAAGTCTTCTCCATGGCACTGTAAGAATCAGGTCAGCCTCAACCAAGAATACTAGGTTCTCCCCCTACGAGATCCTCATCAAAGGACTACAAGGAGACCTCAAGGAAATAGGTGAATTGAATCTGAGACAACAGCTTCAGGCCCTTCCAGACTCTCAACCAATGGGTTAGAGAAAGACTTCCTGTCAGTTTAAGCACTGAAGTTCATCCCTTTAAGCCAGGAGACTCCAACTGGGTAAAAGAGTGGAACATTTAGCTCCTAAAACCCCTGTGGAGAGGCCTCTTTACTGTCATTTTGTCTACCCCCACTGCAGTTAAGGTTGCTGAAATAATGCCCTGGATACATCACAGCAGACTTAAACCTGTAGCTACAGAGTGGGATTGTATTCCAGACTCTTCTGAGCCTGTCAAGGTAAACTGTCAAGGTAACCCTCTGGAAGAAGACACATCTACATTTTAGACCTTAGTTGGAATAGTACTCCTCCTATAATAGTACTCATAATATTGCAACATTATGATCTCAGAATTCTTTTTTTATATTACTTTCTTGGCATATTTAATCTCTTTATTTTCAACCATCAAGTGCTCTTTAATTTTAGGTTTGTTTTTGTAAATTTTTATTGTGGTAAAATTCACATAACATAAAATTTACCATTTTCCCCATTTAAAGTGTACACTTTAGTAGCGTTAAATACATTCACATTGTGCAACTATCGCCACCATCCATCTCCAGAACATTTTCATTACTTCAAACCATCAAGTGCTCTTTAATTTTAGGTTCGTTTTTGTAAATTGTAATGTTGAATATTTTATTTATTTATTTATTTATTTTTAGAATGAGGTTTTTATTTTTTATTTATTTGTTTTTAAATATTTTTTAGCGAGATAACCCTTAGTTGACCTCACAGATTGCAAGGACCTTGTCAGCTTACAATCCCTAATTTTTTTATTTTTTTACACCTACAGCACCTGGTCCTCCTAGGTGGTCTCCCATCCAACTACTAACCAGGCCCGACCCTGCTTAGCTTCTGAGATCAGATGAGACTGAGCTCATTCAGGGTGGCATGGCCATAGATGTAATGTTGAATATTTTTAAAATCATTTATTCAACACTTATTGAGCAATTTATTAGTCAGTATATACAGTATCAGTCACGGAGGATGCAGTTTGAAGAAGGGGATTATAATGAACTCTAGAAGACAAGATTTATTTTTTAAATGAATCTTTTAAATGAATGTGTGTCATGAAAAGAGAAATACTGGTTTTGCTACTGGAGAGTGAGGATCCTCTCCCAGAGCTTTGTCCAGGTTCTTGATGTCTCAAATAAAGGATTGAGCAAGACAATGAAATACAGTAGAAAAGACAAGTTTTATTAGAAAGGAAAGTCCACTTCCAGACATGGAAGCAGGCCTGAGCAAGAGAAGTGTGGCTCAAAAGGCCTGTTGACAAAGCCTTTGAGGTTTTTATCCCTATTTGCAGTGGGTGGTTACTTTTTTTTAGAGGAGTGGGCTTCCTTGATTGACAACTAAGATTGACAGGACTCACTGATTCATCATTTTGCTTTCTGTTCATGTTTGTTCCCAGAATTCAGTCTGTTATAATGATATTAATGAACTTCTGGGCATATGCATTATATTATAATGATGGTATAATGAGGCTCAGGTGAGTTGAAGGTCGTTGGAGTCTTCTGCACAGGTGCGAGTGACTGGCTTAAACTAGTACCAAATTCTGTGCGTACTTGTTTCTTTGTGAAAGTTAAAAAATGCCTTCTACTTGAAAACTCATATCCAAAAAGATATTTGTACACCGATGTTCATAGCAGCACTATTCACAGTGGCCAGGACATGGAAGCAACTGAAGTGTCCTATGAGAGATGATTGGCTAAAGAAGCTGTGACACATATATACAATGGCTGGAACAAAGAATTGAGCAAGACACCGAAATACCGTAGAAAAGAAGTTTTATTAGAAGGGAAAGTCCACTTCCAGACGTGGAAGCGGGCCTGAGCAAGAGGAATGTGGCTCAGAAGGCCTGGTAACAAAGCCTTTGGGGTTTTTATCCCTTTTTGCTGTGGGTGGTTACTTTTCTTAGAGGAGTGGGCTTCCTTGATTGACAACTAAGATTGACAGGACTCAGTGATTCATCATTTTGCTTTCTGTGCATGTTTGTTCCCAGAATTCAGTCTGTTATGATGATATTAATGAACTTCCAGGCATATGCATCATATTATAATGATGGTATAATGAGACTCAGGTGAGTTGAAGGTCGTTGGGGTCTTTGTTGGGCAGGTGCGAGTGACTGGCTTAAACTGATACCTAAATCTCTGCCTAATGGTTTCTTTAAAAGTTATAAAGAAAAAAAATGCCTTCTAGCTTGTTTAATTGTGGGCGTATTAGGGCGAACCCCTTCTAAGATAAGATGACTTCGGTGTCTTTGGAGGCAGACCTGAAACCTCCTAACTTTCCTGTCTAATTCTTTTCTTGTAGTTATGAACCCCTTGTTATTAGTATAGATGTTGAGGGACGGGAGGTCTCTTCTTCTGGATCTGCTTCCTGTTGAGAATGGCTGTAGTCACTGCCTACAGGGGTTTCATGGAGCTCTTTCTCTTTCTGCCTCAGTCAGGGTGGGTCTTGGGTTTCCTGCAGAAGTGCCATCTCAATCCCTAGACAAGGAAAAGTAAATACAAACTTATTATTTAAATCATATATCTATTAATTTCTATTATTGATTTGCCTATTAAGCGAGTAAAGGGAAACAGGTTTGGTTAACATATTTCTTAAAGAGTAAAAAAAGACCTTTGGCCTAAAGTCTCCTCCCCTCTCAGACTCTAAGGGCCTTGCCTGGCTTAACACCATTTCTGCTTAACAATGGGCTGATGACCCTTATCAATAGGCAGAGAATCTGAGTCACTAGTTTTCAGGACAATTATCAGGATTTGAGGGAGAGGGCCTTTTTCCCAAAAAAAGAAAAAAACAACTTGGTTTACTAAAATGATTAAGAATTCTACAAGTGATGTCCCATCTCAGTCCAACGTAAATGTCAGTTAAAAATATCCTTTTTGTTTAACCAATGTACTATATACTTGAAACTAATAATAAATTAAAAAATGAAAAAATATCTTTCATAGGTTACAAAGTTTAGACACAATTTTTTAAAAATTCAAAAATTTGTAACAGATTTTAACACTTATCAACCAAAAATAAGCAGCAGCAAGGGCCTACTCTTCTACATATTTAAATACATTACTACTTTTCCCTCTTATTATCATTGTCATCATTAATTACAAATAAAAAGGGTGCATGAGTGGCTAAACAGAGCTGATAAGGAAAGGTTAGGTTCAGCCTTATTCGTCTCCTAGCAAGACCGCTTTCTCTAGCGCGTGCTACTATTGGCCCTCCCTGGTTACCGTAGAGCTGCGTGCCCCAGTGACACCTGGGAAATATAGTTCAAAAGGAAAAGCACTGTGGTTCAAACAGGGGAGCGTGGCTTTCGCTTGCGCAGGCGCAATTGCATCCGGCGGCCTGGCGGCGGCGGTGAAATTATTCCTACCTTAGGTGTTTCGCTTGCCTACGGTGAGGTCCGCCGCTTTGCTTCCCCTTCGCGGAGGGGCCGGGTGCGGACTGGATGTGAGCGCGGGCCCAGGGTGTGCAGTTCCTGTGGCGGGGGCTAGGACAGCGAATCCCAGCTCGGAGTGTCTGAGACGCGTCGGCCTCGGCAGGTGAGTGCGGCCCGGGGAGGGGGCGTTGCCCGTAGGGTTCGCCATTGGGGGCCGGAAGTCAGAGCTGCCACCTCCTGACTCTGGCGCTTTAGCCTCCACTGGGCTCATAGAAAATGGCCCAGAACAGGGATTGCAAAAAGCTGTGTCTTGTTTCAGGTTTCGTGAACCCTGTGGTAAATTTTGGCTTATAACGTTCATTGATATCCCCCGCTAAACAAAGTTTAAACTTGTAGATTTATCCGTTTGGGCTGATATTGCTTGTTTGCCATCGTTTTTCTAGATTGAACCTAAAATATTTTCACTAAATTATTTTTTTGTTTAGAGTAATTTTGTCTCTAAGGTACTTCCTTTTTCTGTAATTTTTAAATTCATTTCTAGTCAATTGACGGTATTCCTTCTGAGTCTTGCATTTTTGGTGGGTGGGGAAAGGATGTTTAAAGAGTTATGAAAACTCTTCATGATGGAAGCACAGTTTCAAAGAGGAAAAGAGAGGAATTTTTGGTTAGCTCTTCCTGAAAAGGAATAGCCAAGTTATTCAAATGCTATTTGAATAATTATTGGAATTGCTGATGAAAGAAATGTTCAAAGCCGTAATAAGAATTTATTTGAGCCAAGATTTTGAGGACATTCCAGGAAGCCAGATCTTAATGGGTTGAGAAAATGCTCAGGAGAGTGTCGGTTTTCCAGTTCTTTTTATATGTTTAGAATCAAAGGAGAAAAAGTAAGAAAGGTTACATGAAATCTAGTGGTGGTAGATTAAGGAGGCGAGAGAAAGCATGCGGGGAAAATCTCTAGGGTTGGATAAAAAGGAAAATGGAGAGATAATATTTTACACTGGTAGGTGCAGGAGAGTTGACATTTGACAGTTACAACAAATAGAGTTGGTATGTGGGCAACAAGATAACAAAGTTTCGGTGTTGTACTCTGCTGCTAGTGGGTCTGTTTTTGAGGGGTCTACAAAAGAAAGTTACTCTGACATTCCAAAGACATGTTATCCTCGATGCACAAGAAAATAGACAGGGCTCACAGAGATTAACCTTTTAAGAAAGAAGCCATAGGCCTGGGCTGTGACTACCCAACATGACATGCCCAGTTAGGAGTTAACCCTCCTGTGTAGTTACTTTTGGTCACTGAGCTTGTCAGGCTTCTGTAGCTCCCTTTTCATTCTCATAATCATAATATGATAACTCAAAATATTTAAGTGCAGATGTGTGGAATAGTTATGTTGTTTCCATGACTCCAGTGTGACTGCCCTCTTCTCTGTTGATGCACATCAGAAGGTTTTAATCCCGTCATTTGATTCGTCTTTACTCATAAGCCACTGGGTGAAAGGTCACATGCCCAGTAACTGGAAGTACTCTTGCTGCCCACTCCTGGTTTTGGTCACCATGCTGAGGACCCCTCTAACTTGGGATTGCCTGGGTTATGCCACTTTCCCTCTGCAGGAGGTTTGGAACCTGATCTGACATAATCAAGGTGGAAGTGTTGACAGGATGGAAGGACCTCACAGCTTCTTTCTTCATTTCAGGTGCCTTCTCCAAGAGAGGCAGTGGGTAGAGAGAAATGGCCACAAAGTTGTTACCAGCCCCGACTCAGGTGAGTGAAGCTTTCTTTCTTGAACTGCTTTCCAGGTTTAGAGGTTCATGAACTGGCTTCACCCATTGTTGAACTTTTCTAAGGGACATGGAGGAAGCTCTTCAAGGGGTTAGGGACCAGATGAGTTAGGAACAATGGAAGGTAAGTCTGTCCCTCGCCCTGGGGCTAGTCTCTTGGTGAATTCCACACTTAACAGTTAAGTACTTGTTGACTAGGAATTGAATGGGCCCCATCCCCTTGCCACTGCCACACCTAGTGCTTTGTGAGGGATCCAGGTAAGTTTTTTGCCCTACGGAGTATGGAGATCTGGAAGGGTCAGATAATTCCTTCAGAACACTAGGGAATCCCGGAGGAAAGGCACGGTCTTTGCCTTCCAGTCACTTTGCCTTCCAGTCAACTACAGCAGTACCTGATAGGGGTCCAGAAGATTTCCTAGGAAGATCCTGGAAAGAAGGCCTCTGCGTCAGCAGGTGTGGTCAAGGATGCGCCCTAGTTTGAGATGATTTGAGACTTACAAGCAGTCCCACACTCATGTTGATGGGGAAACGAAAGGAAGTCTCATCTCTGATGGTTCCCAGGAAGTGAGCCTTCCTGTGGAGGGGGCGTCGTCTGGTCCACATGGATTCCTTCCCTTCTTTGCCCTTTCATGGCACTTGGGGAACTATAATTAAAAACAATCTCTCCCCAACCCAGAAGACTTCTCCCCAATAGTAGAAGAGAAAGAAAACGCTTGTTATTTCTGAGTAAGCATTAAGCCTGAATGTGACCTGCATGGCAGGCCATCAGCTAAAGAGGCGCAGAGCTAGAAAGCTCAATCTTATGCAGCTAAGTGGATTAAACCCAGTTTTCAATTTGGAAATTTGTCAGGTGACAAGTTAGGCCCATTTCTTCCTTAGAAACTAGAAGCTGGGCACATTCAGAGAGATGGTGACGGGTCCTTGAGGAACATTTCCTGAGCTGTGAGGTTTATTTAGCCTTTAAAAATATTTACATGTGTTTGGAAAGGACTGAGAAAGGAATTCAGGAAGAACACAGGAAGAGAGGGCAGAAGCCTCCTTTCCCATTTCCAGCAGCCTCTTATTTTTAATTTGTGTTTGTCCTTACAGGTCAGAGAACATCCTGGCCTTGTGACCTCCTTTCAGGGTTTTGGGGGATGGTAAAGAGAAAACAAGCTGTGACCTAATACATATACCTCTAGAAATGTATCCTAAGCAAAAAAGCTTGGCACGGTGTTCTGGTGATGTGCTGGGATGTTCAAGCTAGCAATTTTAGAGTTACAAAAGAGAAAATAACCCACATGCCCACCAGTAGATTGCTTAACTGATTGATCTATACAGTGAAATGCTGGACAGCAAATAAAACATATTGAGTGGGGTACAGGTATTTGTATAATGTGTTGTTTTTGTTTAAATCTAGAGCCATATTAGCATGTGAAAAGTCTGAAAGCACATACAGGACAAAGTTAACATTTCTGATGATAAAAAGTTAGATTAGCATTTTTTTGCTTATCGATCTTTTCTAATTTGCTTTTTAAAAAAAAAACAAAAACAAAAAAACAAAAGAAAGGGGCCACTAGTTTAAAAGAGGTGGTTGTGGTCCAGTGAAAGGGGATTGAGGTCAAAGGACAAAGGCTTCTGGGCTAGGTGGGCTAGGCAGGGTGGGTCCCAGTGCTGCCATCTCATCAGCCTGGTTGAAGGTTCCTGGAGCCCACAGTCCAGCCACACCCCTTCCTTCTTTTCTTTCCTTTCCTGTCCTGTCCTGTCCTTCCTCCCTCTCTCCCTCCCTTCCCTCCCCTTCTCCCCTCTCCCTCCCCTCCCTCCCACTTTCCTTCTCTCCTTCCCAAGTGTGCAGAAGCCTCCTGTTAAAATTCAATTCTCATGTCTCACCTGTAAAACAAGCATTTGGTCTAAGTGATTGTACATCCCATGTCTGAGGGTTGGTGTTTTCATCTTTCTGTTTTGTTTCATAATTTC